GATAAATGTGCCTCCTTAGTAACACGGTCCTACTTTATTAAGGAGCTTCAATCAAAAAGTTTTACGAGAACAATACTGGCACGCTTGTACATAAAAATTATTTGTGCCAAGAGGTCGCTGCCACTAAGACAATCGTAAGACTATTCATCATCCTATTTAGTTCCGTGTGTGTCTAGAATAGAATAGAATAGAATAGGGCGGTTATTCTTGTAGTGGTGGTGTAAGAATATCCACTAACTTATATCTTCCCATGGGTGTCGTACGGGGTGACAAATCAGGAGATGGGCAGCAGCATCTTCCTAATAACGATTGAAAATAAAAAAACTTCGGTTGCTAAACCACTTGCCAAGCGTGGCAACTATGGCAAATATCCCCCCTATGAGGCAATCTATGGGTGAGGCTGATGTTGAGTAGTGGAGTTTAATAGGAAGTAACAACGGTCACGGAAGAGAAAGGTAAGAAATAAAGTTACAGGCTTTATTCGTCCTACTCTTAAGAACAGACCCCTTCTCGTTTCTAAGAGGGACAAGGACAATTAAGGACAAGAAAATGGCTACTGAAACTGCAACGTATACGCAAGTAAGACGAATGTGTTGGTTCATAAAGGGAAGAAATAAAATGATTCGTGAAGTAAGAATATAAGAGGAGTTGATTAAAAAAGTGGATGAGTTTGTGTATTAGGATGTATGTTTATCGACGATGATAATCATGAAAAAGATATACAACTAAAAATTAATGCAGGACACAGAGGGAATGGGGCTCTTTATTCTAATACGGAAAGTCAGAATGTGACAAAAAAGCACGTATGGCAAAACGCAATGATATGTTACTTACCTTTATTGTTTGGTAGTGAAAGTTGTGCATGGCAGAAGAAACATGAAAGTTATATTAATGCTGTAAAATGAGTTTAAAAAGAAGTATATATTGAGAGATCTCCTGAATTATAGATGAGAAATTGTGTGATAAAAGAAATGTATAGTTTGCAAGAAGATATGGCGATGACGAGTGTGTATGCGGATTATAGATGTGACAGATGCGCAAAAGGTGTGTCGGTATTGCCAAATGGAAATCATAGACCCTGGGCAACAGCGTAATCTCAAACTAAAGCCATTAAGAGAGAAAACGCAGCTAGTGTTTTTGGCACCGAACCGTGGTGAGTACGACTGTATAATATTTTTGTTTTCTGTAAATAAACGTGTCCTAATGATAAATGAAGTTTTTTTTCTTATTTTTGTTCGCAGACACTTACAGCTTACGTAACAACTTTATAAGAAATGATGATGGTACTGTCTTATTTCTCTGCGACTAAATGAATTTAAAGGCATATAAAAAATGATTTTTTTATGAAAGCACGCTTTTTCTGCCAAGGAAGATAGACGTCTGGATAGGGACTGGACTGTAGGGTATGGAGCGTCAGTATAATTACAGGCTATGAGGCATTCAAACAAAGTACTCAGAAACGACAATTGTTTGTTTGTTTGAAGTCGGTTGCAGGTGTCCATGGGCTGCAATAGCCACTTACCATCAGGTGGGCTGAAAGTTTTTTGACACTTCAATGTTATAAAAAACTAGCGATCCGCCCCGTCCTCGCATGAATGATTTCTCGGTCTCGACAACAGCACCACCTAATGGGTCAAATTGCAAATCTAAATCATTCAGGAGCACACTTAAACGTATACAAAGAAAAATCATCAAAATTGATCCAGCCATTTTCAGTGTCAGTTTGTTGCGGGACTAACCTACAGCAATTGATTTTTATCTAAAGAGATGAGAACGTTAATACCAGAGATATTAGAGTAACAAATGTTTTAACAATCCACCAAGTGACAGTAGCAATTTACAGACACTTAGATCTAATCTGAGGAATAAAGGTTAAATGCTTCACATCCTGTTATAATATTAATTTGATTGGCGGTCCACCACTGTGCGATTTAGAAGGTGTTTTCTTCCTCGCATGACTTCCTTGTGGAATCGATTACCATCAGCGATTTTTCCGGACCGATACGACTTAGGGACCTTCAAGAAAAGATCCTACTCCTTTTTAAAAGGCCGGCAACGCATCTGCAATTCCCCTGGTGTTGCAGTTGTTCATGGGCGGCGGTAGTCACTTACCATCAGATGAGCTGCATGTTCGTTTGCTCTCTCTTCTAAAAGAAATCTCTTCATAGCTTCAGAAATATAAAAGAGGATGGTGCCAATTTCGATGGAATTCTAGACTTAAATGTATTACTTTCACTTTGTAGATAGTTTTAGTAAAACCGGGAGCCCATTTACCTTTTTTTTTTTGGGCACAGGCCTTCTCACGCCATTCCGGTGCGTATTGGTGGTCCTCATACGCTCTAGATATATTTATATCTCACAAATTCCGATTTTGTCCCAAATTGTTCATCAGCGGAGAACAGATGGTTAAATCAGCATTTAAAATTGTAATTAACAATTTAATTGGCGCCGGTGGGGATTGAACCCGTCTTACTCGTGTATGCATGTGATCTTATGGCGAACTTTTAGCTTCTGACCTATCAGAGCTCTTATATAGTAAATAGTGTATTGTAATAGTAATAATGCAGAAAATAGAGTGTAGATTCCCAAGTTATACTGCTATTGTATCGTAAGAAAACAATTGACTGTATTGAAAGCTCGTAGCACAGCGGCCAGAAAAGCGTTTTGGGGCGCTGTGGGCTTCGATTAAATTGGTAGAAATAAACTCTACCTATAATAATTGCTTAAAATAGTTAGAAAAATATAATAGTTGGATAATAGTAAAATAGTGTAATAGTTGGACGGCTACGTGGCGCAATGGCTTAGCAATAAGTTGTAGAACCAAGGGCCGCGGGTTCGAATCCCGCACGGAACAAGTATTTGTATGGCCTACAAATAATTGTTGGATGTTTGTCCTTGTGAAATTTATGTATGTAAAGTGCCCCCATACCAAATGGAGGTAAGGTTTTTAAAAAAAATATTGTTCGTCATCCGTTTCTGATCTTACGACACGCACGGGAAGGGAAAGGGTTATAATTACTTTTCTCATGTAGCCGTAATACGGAAAATCATATAACATATTATATATGCTTTGCATTGCTTATTATGCACAGCTTAGCAAGTAATTGTCTTAGATTTAATAGTCTAATAATGTACCTGAGATAAATACAAAATGTTATGGCACTCTTTGTCTTTTTCAGGTAATGTTAATTTAAGTAAGATTTTGTTAATGACTCTTTGTACCTAAATAAAGAGACAAAGGAAGAACATTTTTTTTTATGTAACGTAAACGTACCTTTTGACACTATATGATTTCAACCAACATGCATTGGGACAGTTCGAAGAATTTTATCAGCTCTAAAATGCACTCAGAAAGAATATGATGCTTATGGCCAACCTTTTGTTGAATTTTTATACACTAATTTATCTTTGTAGACTTAATTACTAGCATTTTTTTAAATAAAATATTACCTCAACAATAGGTTTTTCTCTTGTATCGTGAGAGTAGTTTATATATATAAATGGTATGAGGACAAACATCCAGACCTGAAACAATTTTTGTAGGCCATACAAATACTTGTTTCGTGCAGGAATTGAACCTGCGGCCTCCAGCGCCGCAACTCAATAGATAAGCCACTGCGAAACAGAGCCGTCAAATTTATATTTGACTGCATCGTTGATCTAGTGGTTGCAAACGCCACTGCTAATCATGAGTGTTCCGGGTTGGAACCCGGCTTCTCTATATATTCTCAGTAGCAGCTCTTTGTCAGGAAGTTGGCGATGTTTCACCCCCGTGCCTCGAAAGACATAAATCCATAGGTACTACGCCTGATCTCTCTCCGGTCGTGTCGGATTGCCGTCCCATCGAACTATTTCAATGAGGAATGTGATAGTCAAACTGAGTGTTACAATCCTGTCTTGCGTATATGGCTAGTCTTCGTTCGGTCTGGAGGATATATTTGCTGATTAACCCTTAGAAAAAAACACAGAGATGGCCTTATCCATAAATGAATTGTATGTCTATCCATCATTAGTATTTACTCTTGATAATTAAGCTTATACTAGTTTGAAAAAACAAGCATGTTACGGTGACATGTTTGTTTTTCAAACACCCAAAGCCTACACGTTGCTATGCAACGCTAGTGACTTATTTTGATACTTCACTTTTTGAAACAAAAACAAGAACATATTTTTTAATGCTTCAAGTGGAGAAACAATCCTATCATTATTTATGTGTGATTCATTGTGTGCTACAACCACTACGGAAACATTAATTTAACTACGCTTTCTTTATTATATATTCTATATTATTCTAACTCGAATCTACTTTATTATAATGAAAATTAGTAAAATTTTTATAACATATTTTATAATTTTATAATATTAAGTTATTCCGAATATTAAACATTTTGCATTAATTTATGATCATTTTTATAAAAGGTATTTATGTATATTGCCCACCTTGTATTACTAAATTACATTTATAAATAAGTAAAAGAGCGATCTCAATACTAATTTTTGAAGATTTTGGCAAAAATGTAAACTTAAAATATACTACATTTCAGTAGTAATACAAAATAGGTGATAAAAATAAATTATATAAAATATATGTGCATTATTTCTTTATAAATTTTCTTTTTCATTCATCGCATCCTATAATAAACCTACTGAACATAGCCTGCTTCCTTATAGATTGCTTTATATTTGCCATAATTGCCACGCATGGCAGGATTAGCACCCGCAGTTTTCTATTATTTTGCCTGTTATCAGAAAGATGCTGCTGCCCTTATAATGTTTTAGTTTCCCTCTGTCGCCTCTTCTTAGTATATCATTATTATAATAATATTATTATATGTTATTATATTATGTTATAGTGTTTATTATTATTATTATTATTATGTCGCTTCTTATTACCTTAAAATACACCATGTGATAAATCTTATAGTATATTTTGATCTTTTGTACCTAATGATAATAGAACTTTATTTACTATAATAATAATATGAATTTTACCAACTTACCTTGATAATTAAGTATCATGACAATCCCACATAAAGTTTTTACACAAATTGTTTAAATAGAAACAATTATTTTCTTTCATTGGAACAGTTTAAAAAAGGTGGACCTAAAATAAGTCATAATAAAGTACGTAAAATAACTAACACTACTCCCGCCAAGTGCGAAAGTGAAAATCGCAAATCCGTCCACCGTCTACGAGAGCTACCGCGTCACTGGTCCGATATAGGGGTGGAAACTGGAAGCTGCAAATGATAGCGTGTTTCGAAGTTTGAAAAGTTCAGGGTGCTACTATGCTAACAAACATTGCGAAAATATATTTCGCGCCAGTTTTAGAAAACACATAGACCATTTGCGCACTGGATCTACTTTAAAATAAAATGCAATTTTTATACGAAATATTTTTTATTATTTCATGTTAGTTTCTTTATATACAATATATAACTGAAATAAAAAATTTACTAACAGTGCACCTGGTGGTAAGTGGCTTCTTTAATCCATGGACACCACAAGTCAACTTCATACAAAGAAGGCTACATATGCATTTTCACATTTGAGTATTGAAATGGAATATCCCACTCGTGTAGTTATACTGTCTCTCTATAACCATCAGACAGGAAGACAGCAGTGCAAGTGTTATTTGGCGAATTCCTAGGGAAAAAAAGAAGTACTACCTCCTAGTAATTGCCGGAAAGCTTGAAACTGTAAATACGCTTTCCTCTGACAGTGAAATGTCTGGTTAAAACCACGTGACAGCATTTTGGCGCGATACGCGGCATTCATCGTTATAAATTCAGGAGACACGAACAAAATTAAATTGAATCACTCCTGTTTTTCGGAAATTAAATTCGTATCTGTTTCTTTTTCATAAAATCAAATTTTACTTTGATTTCGTGTACGGAAAAATGATTTTGCGTAAAATAATATTATTTCAAATTCAAATTGAATTTAAATAAAATTTCGGCGATATAGATAACAAATTGTGGATCTTTGCTTCACTTACTTTCCATTTCTTAAAATAGTATCATACCACGTTGGTATATCATACCACGTGTTCTCGTAAGTAGCTTCTTCAATGATTGATAATAATATAAATTGTATACATCGAACGCGAAGTGGAGATGTAGTGCTTTATTGTGACCCAATTAAAAAAAACGCAATCCACTCAACTTAAATCACTTCCACCAGCTTTATATATAGCATTTAATTTTTTTTTATTTTACATAGTTTTAATTTTACCACCGAATCTTTATTATTTTAAATAACCTTCAAATAATAAATTGAACATATCAGAGACACATAAGAAAATAAAATGATGGTAACCAAGCAATGAAAAACTTTAAAAATCATATATTATAGGAATTATGGCACAAAATTATTAGATTAAATACAGTATTGGGTCATGTTTACCCTTATAAAGTTTGGCGCAACCGTAACCTTGAGTGCGGTCACTGTTCAACTGATTGCTTGTCAACAATGCTTGGGCCAGTAAATAAACCCGTAGTCACAAAGCTATAAGAAAAGTTAAAAATGCGGGGTTTTTTTGGCCCAAACCCGGGTTAAATATTAAAAGATAATAGTTGAATAAAAACCATGCCTCAAAAAATGTTTGATGATGGTGAAAATTTAGACCTCAAACACACACAATCTCTCGGTTGAACTTTGCATATCATTATCGTCATCATTACAGCCCTTCACAAGTCCAAGTCTGCTGGCCCCCAAGAAATGACTCAAAGTACAGTTTTGAACCACCTACATCCAACGACTTTCTGCATATCTAACCAGGTCGACATTCTGTCTAATTTGACGCTACTATGAGGCTGTCACTCTAGAACCTTTACTTCCCCATTGGATGCCGGTTTGTCAAGTTATATGGCCGGCCTATTACCGCTTTAGGTTATCGATCCATTATTCATATTTTTAAACTCGGTTTTATTAGTTTCGCGTGTATCTATCTATGTAACAAAATATTTTCATGTACTTTTCACTAACTTCTAGACGACCTTTGAAAATTTTCACTCGTATCAAGGACCGATGACGATAAAATTATGTAATAACATTATTCTAGTATCCCGATCAGGATAAAATAAAATAGCATAGGATCGATTCGTGTTGTTTAGGTTTTCTAAAGTCTGTTTTATATATATATATATATATGCCATCCATCATTATTAGCGTTATTTAAAAAGTAATCGTTATTTCCATTAGTTTATACCAAAATTTAATTTCTGCATAAATTATTTTCAAAAATTATTTCCCGATCGCTTGATTTACTTTAGAATGTTCGTGAAGTTACATCATTAAAGCCACAGTGGGACGTAAAACTTTTGATTCGTAATTCTTGAAATCATTACCAAGTTCTTACAAAACTTAAATCGACTTGCCTTGTACTGGAATACAGTATTATATCTGCCGATGCCAAACTGTAGCTTTGTACAATATTAGTCTTTAATACTTTCTCCAAAAGGTTATAAATTCTTTCCGGGTGTATGAAAATACGTACATCGCGATGCTTTGTGAAGGAGTGACATTGACAAATACCCACCGGACTAATGATTTGTAAAACGTCGTCGGTTAGGTTCTATCGGACTAGTCTCTGAAAAATGTTAAGCAAATGTTGATTTAATATCCAAGACATTCCTTTTGTGAAGAGACGATCGTTTTTTAAGCTCGTTCAATTTTCTAATACTAGTCAAAAATTATACAGAACTCAGACGTATAATGGCGGCGTGAAGGAATTCACTAGTCCATATCATCCGGTGGGTGTTGTAAAAGGTGACAAAGAAAGATCGAAACAAGAGATGTGTGGATATCAGCATTTTTCTGACAACAACTTAAAGTATTAAAAAAAACTGGTATTGCCAAACCAACTGCCAAGCGTGACAACTGTAGCAAATAGTTGAGATAAAGTAATGTACATAGGAGACATTTTCTAGCAAATAAATATTTTAATGTATACCTATAAGATTATCTATGGGCGAGACATATGTTCAGTTGTGTTTAATGGGCTGTTATTAATGAGAAAGTGAACGAATATAATTAATCATCATATAATAATACATATTATGACATTTATATAATGCCTTCATGTTTTAGGACGAATTTTGAACTTAGTGGTAATCATTAAAAAAAAGGGTTTTTATAATAACATTTAATAATACGACCGGTTACTTTTACTATTTGAGTCCTAGTCGATAAAGACATACTTTGACATGAATCTTCATCTAAAATTAATGATTATTATTTTTTATTACAAGCAACTTTATTATTGTAATGTGGATATCTACCAATTATATTAATATTCACTCACATAATTATTTTTATATCGAGCAAGTCATTCGTTATGAATAGACGTAATAACATTTCCATATCTCATCTTAAGTAAATATTTGATTTGCGCCGGGATTACATTTTACTGGGATCGTGAATTACGTACATCTAGCGGTATTCATGTTGTTATAAAGGTACGTTCAAACTGCAGTGCAAAATAAATATAGGAATATTTCATCTTATTGAACTAAACGAAAATAATGATGACCATCGTATTATTATTATTTTGAGGTTTATAATTTATACATTTATTTAGCCACCCTGAAATAAAATTATAATTGTAGCACGCATGGGTTGGAATGACCGGGGAAGGACCACGCTCTCACAGAATAACAGCGTAAAACAGCAGCTTAATGCTACTGTGTTTTGAATGGTGAGTATAGAGAACTAGAGACCCATTTTACTGGAAACGAGGCATTAAATCTTATTTCTCAGAGGTGATAACGCTTCTGTATTTTAATTCTCAATGGATGTGTGGGTGTTTATGGTCGATAACGCTCACTTACAATCAGGCGGACACTTGTCATCCTTACTTTTACAAAGAATACTAGGTAAGATTTGCAGAGATACCACAATTCTGCATTAACTATGGCTGGCAAGTTCTTGAGACTTCCATAAATTGCGGTATAACAATTTATTTTAGGCCAAATGTAAAACTCAAATTCAAAATTTAAAAACTGCTGATGATCTTGAAACGGATAAATCGATTTTAATAAAACATATCTAAAATCACTGCTAGAAAACCTGTTTTTCAATAAAAATACCGCACTCAAATCGGTTCATCCCTTTAAGAGCTACGGTACCACAGACAGACATACAGACAGAGAGACACACATAGTGGTCAAACTTATAACACCTCTCTTTTTACGTTGTGAGTTAAAAAATAATACATTTGCAATACATCTGCACTGGGCGTTACGTTTGAAAAAGGAATAGATTAAATTTGCAATTTCAGGGATCGTGTCATGTTAAATTTTAGTTATGCTAAACTCCGTCTGACTCGGCAAATAACATCTGAAGCTTGATTGAAATTAATGCAACTTGCAAAATGACCTTACCTAAGTGCAATGTTCTGCAATATGTAATAATGTGTTACTATTTTATTTATAGTCGAAAGTTTTAAAAAAAAAAGCTCACAATTCATCTGATGGTAAATAGATGATGTGGTCCAAAACATCTACATTTATCCTCGACTAAGAATCAAAATACAGATGCCTTCTCACCCTTGAGGATTAGGATGCTACGTTTTCAGTAAAAAGGGTCTCCGGTTCTCTTAACTCAACATACGAAACATAGCATCATTATGTTGCAATTTTACGCTGGTATTCTTTGAGAGTGTAATCCCACCACAGTCGAGCCGACCCAATCGTGCTACAACCATCATATAGCTGCCGCGTGACTCTACCACGTTTATATATTTTCATAAATTAAGCCGTGTGGTGGCAGTGTAAGCGAATCCAATACTCCATTTGGTGCCGAGGGTAAATTAATGGAAGACACTATAAGAAATGCCAATAACATCTTATGGCTTTCGATAAGTATTAACATGGCTATGGTAGTTGTCGTGTTCTACGGCAATGGTCCAAAACTACTAAAAAACTACTCCCTACGTCAGCATTTCTATGACTACTCTATGGCAATTTTGCATGTGTGCAAGAACATTAAAAATATTTATAATGTATTTATATATTTTAAATAAATATTAGTAATTTTTTAATATAACAATATTTTTTAATTATTTACTTATATCATACATTACGTATACCTTTATATGACATATTTACCAGTGTATAATCAATTTGCTCAAAATTTAGAAGTCTCGTGCCAGCTCATGCCGTAGGACTTGTACGACAACAGTTTCCCTCAAGAAAGTGCTCGGAATAGTGC